AAGGAAACAAAATCTAGGCTCTTTTCAGCTGCAGAGTAGTCGATGTGAAATACATAGGCAACCGTCTAAACTATGAAATCTTTTTGACACGTTACTGATAGGACTGATCGATCCATGACTAATGCAAAATTAACAAACCTTCAGTCATTAGTTTCATTTTAACAATCGATATGTTTCACTGTTTCATGCTGTTATTAACATAAAGAAAAATGGAACTTACCACGGTCCTTCACATAGTACAGAAAGAAGAGCAACCTGATTATGGTTTGAATACCCGAGAAGGTTGAAATACTAGTACAGGGGGTATTGTTAAACATCTTGGTAACTGGACAGGCCAATTACAGACTCAGAAACATTGGCCAGTGAGACCATAATACAGAAATATTAAGATGGATGGGTGCTTCTATCACTAGACTCTGGTAGATTCCATTCTTACATTGAGTGATAGCACCTTAAGACACCCGTACGTATGATAATGAACAAATCTTGGGTTAACTGCGCGATCGATCATCAGAGGAACGGGAATGGGAAGTGGAATAAAATGAGGACAGGGAGGGAAAGAGGAACAGGGTATCGAAGAATCAACTTTACATGGAGAAAAATTTCCGGCGGGGGAATTTAACGATTGCAAGGTTCTCCAAAATCTAGAACAACACGGAGTAAAGGCACAAGAGTGATTACGTTGTGTCGATAGATCGTCGAAAGTTACGTCATTTCAATCAGTCAGATTCGATGACCGTATATCCTTCCAGTGGCGGAGGCAGACACGTCAGGCAGAAGATGATCCGAATCTGTAGAAGATTCGTTCGATATACCTGGCCCAGTACATTCTTCGGTCAGTCGGTTGGACAAGTAACAGTTAGTTCGCTTTCTTTCAGGAGGCAGTAGTAACATATGCCCAAACCATCGCAGCTGTGACTTCTAAGTCTGGAAAGCAGCAACTGTACAACAACGCTATCATGGTATTTGTACTCAGGACTATATGTGGACGAATAAGGTCAGCGACTCGTCTAAGAAATCCATTTCAGCAGTTTGTACCCGGGTTCGACTAAAATGCATGCATTCTGTCATACATCTGTGTCGGAGATTCATAGGAACAGATTTGTTGAAGGCCGTAGGAAGACGCAGATATTATTAACCGTACAAATAAGCATATCAAATTACTTCACATTTCACGGACTTTACGAAGTATTGCTTTAAGACATAATAAGACATATAACAGTCGATGACGGTCAAATGTCATTTGATAATCGAAACTTCGCTGCGTTCAGCCATGTTATCGCACAATGTGCTTTCTTTTTCTAGTTATCCTGCCTGTCTTCGTAAAACCCATATGCGGAAATTACAAGGATATTTCTAAGGGAAAAAATTCAGAGGAAACGGAGAAGAGAATGTAAGAAAACCAGACAAAGCAATAAAAGAACAGATAACCGTCATTGTTCTGTAATGACAAGATACAGACGCGTTTTTCAGTACCGATGTGAAAAAATAAGCTACAATTCTAAACACGGCTTTTCTTGATGCAAATGCAAAAGCAAAAGCATAAACGGAAGTAGCACATTCTGTCAAAGACAGCAGAATGAAGTTGGATGAACTCTGACAGGGTAATGGTCTCCGAAAACTTGGTCTCCCGTTTAATTATATTTATGACAAGCAGTTATAAACCCCAGGATGGTCAGGCCATTCGACGTCCTTCCTTCAACGTTGGATAAATGAGTACCACTATGTAGGAAGATAACAGGAGACTACGCGCAATGCTAGCCACATAGGTGTTGATTATATCTTAAAAGTAAGGTACTGCTGGTTGAAAGGATGTCATCATGAAAGTGCAAGGGAGACAGACAAGCAAATGGTTACAATTCTTCTTCCCTTTTGACAATAGTCAGCAAACGAGAGAGTGGCAGTTGAAGCCCGACAGAACACTCACGAATCTGAGTGAAAAATGGATACTCAACTCTAATTCCGTCGTTGTCAGTCCCAAACCCGAATGACAAAGGAGGAGGGTTGGGGACTGTGGCGAAGTCTCCCGTGAAACTCATCCATTTGCCCTCCCTCCCCTTTCCTCCTGTATCAACGTCGAGCGGATTCAGTTGCGGAACGCACCAACGTTGCTTCGTTCTCACCCATATAATAGTGAACCGCAAAAGTGTTCGGAGACCAGACGTGGCAGGAAAGGCAGATGGAAAACTGCTGCAAAAAGTACACCCGCCGAGAGCCTGCATTTTCCAACGATAATTCGCAACAATGGCGGCGCCATCCCGCTGAAGTTCAATGAGCTGAAGGCACTTCTGGCCACTGTTGCTTTTCAGCACCGCTGGGTGACTGTCTTACAAGAAGGTTGGCTAAATCACACGGACCATTAGAACAACTTCGATTTGGGAAACTTCGTTTGTTGTCGCCTTGATCATCCCGGGAAAGTCAC